CAACAACTCGACCCCGTGAGTCTCCCCAGTGTGTTTTGGGGTGCATGGAAGGGGATAAAGAAAGTTTGTAAAAATATGGGCTTGGCGGCTGGAGGGGACGGGGCGCGATGGGGGTGGATGGGACACGCGCCACGATGGATGGCCGCTGCGCAAGTTTTCCCGGCGAGGGACGGGCAATAAAACCCACCCGTCCCTTATTTCTGTCTCATCTCTGTTTATCGCCGGGGTTTATTTGCATTATCGGGCGTTTCTGTGTTACAGGGGTGCTGCCCGCTGCCAACCCGGACCCTCTGTGCTGCTGCCCTCGGTGGGTCCCGGGCAGCGATACCCACAAATTCAGGGCGAAGACAGAAAAAACGATCTTTATGTTTAAATTTGGTCTCTTATCCCCTCTTTCTGAACGGCTTTTTGCTGTCAGAAATCCAGGGACCTTTTTTCCCTCTGCCGAAGGAAGTCCCCCTGCGTCCCAGCTCGACCTGGTGACTCCAGCACCGGGGAGAAGAGTCAGCTCTTCCCTCCGGCCACACATTTTGGACCAATATGAGATTTTTCTCCTGTTTTCTTTCCATGTGGGATGGGATTTTCCTCCTGTAGAGCTCTTGCAGCCTGGGGGAAGGTGGGACGCGTGAGTCTGCGCTGAGTTAAATACAGTTTTTTGGTAAAGAGTTTGGGTCTGCAGAGGGAAAACAACCGGGGCATCCTCAGGCGCACTGGAGCCAGGTCCCATGGGTGCCTGGGAACCCACACCAACCTCACACTTGACAGCACAGCAGCAACGTCTGCTTCAGCCATCGGGTTTTGGCCAGATCTCGGCTTAATTTTGGCAGCTCCTGGCATGCCCCGCGCCCCAAAACCCCACCAGCACTTACCGTAGCCCTTCCCAAAAGCTGAGCAGCCGCCTTCGATACGATTGGTTGTGAAATATTTATGTCCATGTCTTCTGATCCTGATTTAATATCATTTCCAGCTGTGTCTCCCACCCCACAGGACTTCTCCAGCTGCTTGAGGGTCATTGCAGGACAGGTTCGGAGGGAGCATGTATTTTTTTTAGAGGAATAAGTCTCCAAGCCATGAGCGGAGGGAGGGAGGAAACCTGGAGGCAGCTCCCTATCGCTTTCCCCTTGCAGCATCACTCATCTTTATGGGGTTCTCAGGAGGCAGCAGCAGCCCCCGCCAACAGCCGTTGTCACCTGCGCTCGCGGTGACAAAAGACCCGGGCTCCAGAGAGACGCCTTTCGGATCCGAAGGCGAAAGGATGAAGCATTGAGGGGAACATTGTTTGTTTTTTTGGTGGGGCTGAGCGGGAGCAGAGCGATGCGGGCGCAGGCAGGGAGGCAGCTGCGGGTATTGCCTTCCCTTTGCCATGCCTCAGTTTCTCCTCCGGCCAAATCGGGGCATAGCGAGGAACAACGAGCTCGAAGCGAGAGGAAAGCTTTGCGGAAGGAAGGGTTTGTGGCACTACACGTCTTCTGGGGGATGGGGACAAAGCCGAAACCCTGCAGGAGGGGACAGGGCTGGGGGAGGCAGGTTGGTGCCGCTGGAGAAGACCTCACCCCCGCAACCCCGGCAGATGTGAAAAAGGGAAAGGGGAAGGTGAGCACGTCAAAGAAAGCAATAAAGAATCTCCTGAAGGAATAAAAAGAGGGGTTTTGGGTTTTTTTTGTCTTTTTTTCCCCATAGTTCCTGCACGGTTTCCGGGCCCGCAGCCCCTCGCACCCCT